TACATCCCTTGAGTATCGGTGGGTTTGGGCTTCCTTACGGTGGTCTCTTGTTTTGTTGTGCTGACCTGCGCTTTCCCTCCTTCTCCCTATCTTTTTTTTTAATGCAGAAACGAGAAGCAGAAGGAAGAAGAGGTTTGTGTCCAGCCCCCGCTACGTGGAGACCATGCTGGTAGCCGACCAGTCCATGGCCGAGTTCCACGGCAGCGGGCTGAAGCACTACCTCCTGACACTGCTCTCCGTGGCGGCCAAGCTGTACAAGCATCCCAGCATCCGCAACTCCATCAGCCTCGTGGTGGTGAAAATCATGGTCATTTACGAGGAGCGGAAGGGACCTGATATCTCTTCGAACGCGGCCCTGACTCTGAGAAACTTCTGCAGCTGGCAGAAGCAGCACAACCCGCCCAGCGACCGGCACGCGGAGCACTACGACACGGCAATCCTCTTCACCAGGCAGGTGAGGGACATGAAGGTCAAATCCATCCCCATGCCGTTTGCTCCCTACCCCTGGAGGCCCCCTCTGCCAGGAAACCCCCAAAAAAGTGTTCAGAGACAGTCTTGTGTCATCACAGCTTTGGTGAAGTAGACTAAAAATTAGATGAAGTGCTTTTTATTTTGTTAGTCTTTTGCTGTTTGCACCATCTCAGGTGAAACTCACAGTTTGTGCACTGTATTTCTGCCCCATATATTTTTAGCAGATTTAGGATGGAAATTATGCATTTTATTTCTACGTGTAACCCTTGTGTATGTTCCAAAGACAGATTTTTGCCATCATACCCATTGAAGTGCTGAATATTTATGCTCTTTCCATAAGTAAAGGCAAACTGCCAGGGCTGGATGGCTCTTGCCAAGGTTAAGTCTCTGATCTGATTAATAATGAAACTGCCTTTTTTTACAGGACCTGTGCGGTGCCAAGACATGTGATACTCTTGGGATGGCTGATGTGGGAACAGTTTGTGATCTAAACCGCAGTTGCTCTATCATAGAAGACGATGGTTTGCAGGCTGCCTTTACAACAGCCCACGAACTAGGTACTTGAAGCTTTGAAAGGCAATTTCATGTGATTAATTGAAGCCAGCTTGATGCCGTAAAGCAACTGCCCAGCCTGCACCGCGGGCTCACCGAGTGCAGTCAGGAGGAGGCAAAGCTTTGCCTTGCAGCAGGGTTGAACTGGGGAAAGTGAATCCACTCTGCACAGCATTGTCTGCAAGAGCTGTGTGTTTGACTGACTGCAGGAAAAAAACGGGGAGAGAAGATACAGTGCCATCTGCTTAAAATCTGGCAGCACTCAGATTCGGGTTATTACTTAAAGACCAGGCTATGAGCAGCACTAGAGTAATATTTAAAATACTACTGGTAATGCATAGGACAGACTTCCTAAAATCACAGACTTTCCTTTTTTTTTTAAGGCCACGTGTTTAACATGCCTCATGACGATGCAAAGCAGTGTGCTGGCATTAATGGAATAAGCCGGGATTTCCACATGATGGCATCTATGCTTTCCAATCTGGATCGCAGCCAGCCGTGGTCTCCGTGTAGTGCCTACATGATTACAACATTTTTGGATAATGGTCATGGTAAGATTATTAAGCTTTCCATTCATGTGGCATTTAAGCTCTTGTGCTTTACTGCTCTGCTTTTTTTTCTTTCTTTTTCCTTTTTTTTAACAGAGTGCTTTCTGCTTCAGCATAGAGTTAACCTTTTGCATGCTGCCAGTGAATTTAGAAGACCCTTAGTTTTACAGAAATGGTGGCACAAATGGGCTCAAAGGCTTCTGTCACAAAGCAAATGCAGTTCCCTCTTGAAACTGAATTCACTCACAGCATCATCTGCCTTTTTTTTTTCCCCCTTTTTTTTCCTTTTCAGGTGAGTGTTTGTTAGACAAGCCCCACAAACCAATCCAGCTCCCTTCTGACTTGCCTGGCACGTTGTACGATGCCAACAGGCAGTGCCAGTTTACATTTGGAGATGAGTCCAAGCACTGCCCCGACGCAGCCAGTACGTGTACGACGCTGTGGTGTACTGGCACTTCTGGAGGACTGCTTGTGTGCCAAACCAAACACTTCCCTTGGGCAGACGGCACCAGTTGCGGGGAAGGGAAGTGGTGCATGAATGGCAAGTGTGTGAATAAAACTGAGAAGAAGCATTATGATGTAAGTATTGAGAAAGAAATCAGAATGTATCTTGGGTTGCAGAGTCGCATGGAAAGTGCTGCGGTGGGGGGAATCAGTTAAAAGGGGTTGAATCAATGGAGGCAGACAGCTAATAAAACAAACTTGGAGCGTCTAATGAGTAGTTTGGGTAAAAATGAGCATGATTGTGGCTTTTGTGGTTTGGTTTTGTCTTGCTCTTACTGTATTAACTTTTGTTCCCCTTCTGCTTGTCATTCCAGACGCCAGTGCATGGGAGCTGGGGGTCCTGGGGGGCGTGGGGAGAGTGCTCCCGGACCTGTGGTGGTGGAGTGCAGTACTCCTTCAGGGAGTGTGACAACCCCATCCCGAGGAACGGCGGGAAGTACTGTGAAGGGAAGCGCGTGCAATACAGATCATGTAACATCGAGGACTGCCCGGACAACGATGGTAATCTTGTCCCCATTTCTGAGGCAGAGCATTGGTGTCTTGTGGAGGAAGAGCATGGACAGGGATGATCTAATGTCCACCTGTCTTTTCTCTGCCTGCAGGCAAAACGTTTAGGGAGGAACAATGTGAAAAGCACAATGAGTTTTCCAAGTCTCCCTTTGGAAGTGGACCTGCAGTGGAGTGGACACCCAAGTTTGCTGGTGTCTCTCCGAAGGACAGATGCAAGTTGGTTTGCCGAGCAAAAGGAACAGGATACTTCTTTGTTTTACAGCCAAAGGTATTTTAAAACCATACTTCTTCTGTCTAATATGAATAGGATTTTTATTTTCTCTCTTTATGTCAAGGGTCAAGCAGTGCAGAAATCTGAAATTATGTCTTTCTTATATTGAAGTTGGATTATTCCTCTTCCTACAGATACAACTTAATCAGTACAAGCATACTTTAACTATTCTGGCAGAGTACTTCCAGTTATTTCACACGTACTGCCTCTTCTATCCACTCCACCATGGTTTCCTTTCCTCTCCTTCCACCAATTTGATTACATGAAGATATGTTCAGAAAACTGGGGGGGATCTTTGCCAAAACACTGGTGCTTTCTCATACTGGTTACTAATATGCTGACAGCTTAAAATAAACATGAGGAAAAGTGTTCATCTTGCATAGCTACTTGAACTCACTGTCATCAGATGTTGAGAGCCAGTAACTACCAGGGCGATGACACACATGTTTTTTGTAGACCAGTACTTCTAGAAATAGAGGATATGTTGGACAACATTAAAAGCAATGTTGACACTGTACTTTGAGAACATGACTGCCTTCTGGTGACATCAGAAAACAACGTTCTTTCTCTACATGAAATCAGTAAAACAGTTTTGTACGAGGGGGTATTAAAGAAAACTGAAATTTTTTGTTCTTTCCTCTCACCATGACATCATTTTTGCAAGTGAGATGAAGTAGCACTACATACCTCCGACCATGGGCTGCTTTGGTTTTAATTTCCAAAGCCCTGAAAATACAGGTGCTGCAGGTCTACCACCTGTCCATACTGTGCATTTGATATGTGTCCGTGTTACGCAGTTCCAGAGCAATGTGCATCTTCTAATCAGAGGTCCTGCTGTTTGTGTCTTGCAAAGGTTGTGGACGGCACCCCATGTAGCCCCGATTCCACGTCCGTGTGTGTGCAGGGGCAGTGTGTAAAGGCTGGCTGTGACCGTGTGATAGGGTCCAACAAGAAGTTTGACAAATGCGGTATTTGTGGTGGCAACGGATCCACTTGCAAGAAAGTGTCCGGCACACTTGTAAGAGCAAAGTGAGTATATGATTGCTGCTGTTACTTTGTTCTGGTGATTGTTTTGTGAGTGTAAACTCTGGCTTTCCAAGTCAGTGAGATGTTGCCCAAGTTTGTCATTGGAACTGAGATTTGATATGTCAGAACGATCTGACTGAGGATAACTTACAGTGGGATGCAGCAAAAGAAAGCCCTTACGTGTGGGCGTATCTCTGCAAATGTGGGATGTGACTTGGGGAATCCCTTACTCCATTAATTAGGTTGGCAGCTCATGTCCTAAATGCTTTAACTAAAAACAAAGTTTAGCCTTGTGCTGGGAAACTTCTTCCCTTTCCCAGGGAAGAGCGGAGGAGTCAGTCTTTCTCTTTTCTCTTGGGCAGACCCGGCTACCACGATGTCGTCACCATTCCGGCTGGGGCAACCAACATCGAGGTGAAGCAGCGGAACCACAGGGGCGCGAGGCACGATGGCAGCTTCCTCGCTATCAAAGCTGCAGATGGCACCTACGTCCTCAACGGTGACTACACCTTGTCCACGCTGGAGCAGGACATCACCTACAAGGGCAGCGTGCTGAGGTACAGCGGCTCCTCGGCCGCCCTGGAGAGGATCCGCAGTTTCAGCCCCCTGAAGGAGCCTTTGACCATCCAGGTCCTCACGGTGGGGGACCTGCCACAGCCCAAGATCAAGTTCACCTATTTCGTGAAGAAGCCCACGCAGCCTGGGTCGGAGAAGGCACCCGGTAGGAAGAAAGAGTCCTTCAACGCCATCAGGGAGATCATCTCGTCCGAGTGGGTCATCGAGGAGTGGGGCGAGTGCTCCAAATCGTGTGGCTCGGGCTGGCAGCGGCGGGCAGTGGAGTGCCGGGACCCGCAGGGCCGGCCGGCCTCCGACTGCGCCCGGGAGCTGAAGCCCAGCAACCTCCGTCCCTGTGCCGACGTGCCCTGCCCGCAGTGGCAGCTGGGGGACTGGTCACCCTGCTCTAAGACATGTGGGAAAGGTTTCAAGAAGAGATTGTTGAAATGCATTTCTTACGACGGCAGCGTGCTGCTGCAAGAGAGCTGTGAACCTTCCAAGAAACCGAAACACCTAATAGACTTCTGCAACGCTACAGACTGCAGTTAAAATAGGACAAGTTGGGAAAGCTAAAAGTCTTTTTTTTTTTTTTTTTTTTTTAACTTCAGAACAATGCACTGAAAAAAAAAAAAAGAGGGCTAGAGGCAGCACATCTGTTTTTGCATAAAAAATTCATAGTAAGGATCCACTGAGGTGTGGGACAGTGCAAATAGCTTTTGTTGGCTTTGCATCCTAAAAATACCCTGCCAACTGAAAATTTGATGGGATAGCAGACCCATGTCACTCACTCGACTTCAGCAGATAAGGCCCAAAGGCATCATAATGGCCTTTTTTAAAGTCTGTTACAAATTAAACAAAACAGGAGCAGTAAGACACGTTTTAAGCAAACATTTTGGGGTTTAGTTATTTCTTCCTTCTTTTGGATTTATATTGTGGTACTGATCAAGTTCCCAGGTGTAGGAAAGCAGGGAAAGGGGAGTGAAAAAGATAGCTTAAAATAATTGGTCAGAGCTTACCTACCTCACAAAGGGCAAAAAAACAGGATTGGAAAAGGAGCTTTAACTATGTCATTCATGGCTGCTATTGTTTTAGAGAATAGTTTTATATAAGAATAAAGCCATATTCTCTACGTGTAAAGAGTAAGAAATATCAAGAATAGTCGGACAACTTCACAAATAACTAAATTTTTTGGGTTTTTTAAGTGCCTTTATGTCATCCCAATGTGCCTGTCCATTTCTCTCATCCACTCCAGTGCCATTGTGGTGACATATGTAATCCAGAGGCTAGAAAAAGTGGAAATCTTAATGGAACATATATTATCTCTGGTTGCTCTTTGTGCCTTCTGCATACCTTCCACTGGCTTTTCTGATTCCAGCTTGGTCCTACCTTCCTGTCAAACAGACTGATGGAGTTTGTGAGCATTTGAGTGAAGCTTTGACATTCAAATCTTTTGCCTTGCCCCAGCCAATGGATATTGTTTGCATTTGGGTTAAAAAAAAAGAAGAATCCCACTGTGAATGGGAACCTCCTATGTGGCCTCTGATGGGTTGTAGTGCTCAATCACTGATAAGGTGGGAAGGCAAAGCTGAAGGATAGCAGGTCCATCCACAGCTGCATTCACATGATTGAAGTTTGTGCCAGTTCATAGACAATGAGAGAATATGGCTTTCCATATGTATATAGTAAAATATATTACTATAGATTTTATATACTTTATAAGTATTTTATATTTCTTTCCCTTCTGGGAAAGGTTATAAATTGTAATAAATGCATATAATGAGCATATTTATTTTTATACTTCTTGTCTAATGTGATCTTCTAAGTTATCACTTTTTTAAAAGGACATATAACAAGGATAGAGTATTTATACAGTATAATATGTTACTAGAGGTAATAAAAGAACCCTATAAATTTTGGAAATGGAGCGTCTTTATTTCACTGGACTAAAACTAGTCCATCAAGCAGAAGGAGCTTGGAATCTAAGGAAATGTTATGCAAAAGGCTACTAATTAACTGTGTTAGTGAAGAGGTTTGGAAAACTCTACCTGTAACACCATACATCACATTAAAAGAGGTAATTTTGTATTTTATTACTTAACCACTAATTCATCTATTAAAAATCACAGTGCAACTGGACTGATGCTACTGGTTGTAATAACTGCTTGCAGAGGGAGTATTGCTGTCAGTAGTGTTTATAACCAAAAAAAATACATACAAAAAGTAGTTTTACCTGCTCTGGTTAACCTTACCCCAGTGGGAAAGGAGCATTCAAAATTCAAAGCCTTTAACAAGCACTCAGAGGTTTCCCTCACCAGTTTCTGGAGGCCCTCCTGATCATGCTTTTCTAATTAGAAGTACTGTATGAATGAGCTGTTCTAACACTGTTGGTTACACTTTTTATTATGTTAAAATAGATACTGAGCATCAAGAAACTGGTTTTTGCTCCCTCATATCTGATCTCATGACCACTGCACTCAAGGGAAAATCTTTGGTTGAGCTCGATAGGATTTTTGCCATGGAATTTGAGACATCAGTCATTTATGGATACTTTTGGCTTTATGTCATGTAAAAATCTATTAAAACTTCCTTTGCCAATGTTTGGACTCAGTCTTGCAGAAATAGTTCCCACTTTGTTCTGTGGATAAAATCCTGGCCCCTCTAAAGCACATAGAAAAATTCTCATCACGTCACACTTCATTGAGCATTACTTTGACATGCAAAAACACCGGGGACTATTTTGCTTCTAACATTATTTGGGAGGGAGCCAATCCCTTTCTGTATTTATAAATAGTTAAAAGTATGTATACATACAGCAAATAACTATTTATTTGTATATATGTATATGTACACCAATATTTTACTACAGCAGGTTAAAATTAGGATTATATACAGTTTCAAGAGAAAAAAATATACATTTTTATTTTCATTTTCTGCTGTTGTTACTCCTTGTAGGCTTCATATCCTAATATGTAGCTGGTGGTTGGTGTTACCTGAAAAAAGTCTCCATTTAAGATTCCAAGGAGCTACAGTCCTGAAAAGGCAACACCCTGTGATATCTACAGAATGGATGAGGTCCCGTGACTTCTGGGTGATGGCAATTGCCCAAATTTGCTCTCCTCAACCTAGAAGAAACATTCAAGGCGAGGGTGAGAAAGCCCTGCAGAGGAAACAGCTTCTCCATGACCTATCCATATCAACTGAAGCCCAGCTGAGGCGCTGACATACTCTCACTTCTTGCAGTAGTGCTTAAAGAGGCTCTGGGGAGAGAAAAATGGCATTTCACAGGCACCGCCTTTCATGCTGAAGGGAATTTGGATCCAATGAAATACAGCCAATTCCTTCTTTAACAAAAGGTGGTGAAGTGTTCTGCATTTCCAAAACATTGTGACTGCATTACCCAGGTCAGTCAGCCCTGTGGTTACAGTGAGGAGTCAGAGGGGGTGAGGGAAATCAAACACATTTGGTATTTTACACAAATGTCAGTAACAGTTTTTACACTTTCACAAACAGCTGCATAATAAAATGAGTGATGAACTAGTAAAGTTTTATGACATACTGGCAGCCTATTTGCTATGGTAGCATTCATTTCTTTAGAGCACAAACAAAGCAGCAGCAGGTCAGTTGTAGTGCAGCTGACCAAGACTGCATTTCCAAGTCATAGTTCACTGGCTATTTTTCTTTGATTAGATCATGAATTCTTGGCAGCTGCATCTCTTATACAGTAATAAGGTTCATGAATCACAGAATCACAGAATGGTTTGAGTTGGAAGGGACCTTAAAGATCATCTTGTTTCAACCCCCCTGCCATCAGCTGGGACACCTTCCACTAGACCAGGTTGCTCAGAGCCCCATCCAACCTGGCCTTGAACACTTAGAGAGATGGAGCATCTGAAACTTCTCTGGCAAGCCTGTTCCAGTGCCTCACCAACCTCACAGTAAAGAATATATTCAGTATATCTAATCTAGATTTCCCCTCTTTCAGTTTGATGCCATTCCCCCTTGTCCTGTCACTACAGTTCCTGATGAAGGGTCCCCCTCTGGCTTCCCTGTAGGCCCCTTTACAGGCTGGAAGGTGCAATGAGGTCTCCACACAACCTTTTCTTCTCCAAGCAGAACAGCCCCAACTTTCTCAGCCTGTCAAAATTATGAAAATTATGAAATTATATCTTTTTTTTAATAGAGCTGGATAACAGAGAACGTGCTCCAAATAATGTATTAATTAAACAGTGCAATCAAAGAACTGCTCCCTTCCAAAGCACCCTTTAGTTACATGAGAATCTGCTGCTCTGGGTGACCCAGCAAAGGGAAATGAGCAAAACCATAAGGGAAACGAGCAAAACGAGCATAGTGTAGCTGTGTAGCAATCAAGATCACAATTAAACACATTCCCTGCACCAAGAGTCTGGCAATTTATAGCTGTTCTTACAAAGGACTGGGTATTTAAGTGCTTTTATGTGCACACCCATCACTGTAAGCAGGAATCTCAACACTTTGTTACTGACTGACAAGGAGTGCTCTGGGGAGCCAGAGCAGCAATGAACTTTAAGAGCTGGCACTTTATGCCAGCCCAGGCACTCTTCTTGGGCCACAGCCACTGGTTCCACTAATGCCCCTGTGGGCTTCAGACCCTGGATGAAAATTGTTGCTTTCAACAAGGTTGTCTCAGTTGTCCAGCTTGACAGGGTCAGCACCTAGCATTTCATCTGAGGACAGCCTCACAGCCTTTTGGAGCCAAATTTGCCTGGCTTCCTCCCAGGTTCAGAGGAAACAGATGCTCTAGCTTTGGGGTTTTTAACATTTTTAATGTCATAAGATAAATGAGTTTAGCTGAGTAGTGTGGGTGTGGCAGATGAAACCTGTGTCTTCAAGTATTTTCAGAGGTGTGGGGAGAGGCAGGTGTCTCAATGAATGAGATGTGCCTTCCTTGATCACTTTTGGTTTCATTGCTTGCAAGGCTGAAGGATTTTCCAGTTCTTGATCAGGCTGAAGTCTCCCTGTTGGCAGAGCAGGGCAACCGAAAGCACTGTACAGAGGAGTTCTTACACATTGCAGACATCATGAGACCAAAGGAAAACTCTTTCCTGTCTTTCAGAGGCCTCAGGAGCCTGGCTTTGGGACAGAAGGCCAGTCTGAGGGCTAGATCTCCAGAATCCAATCTTCAAACTTCACTATCTAAGTTTGAAGAGGAGACTGTTCATGCTGGAGAATTATCTGCCAAGCTGATTAGTTGTGAAATTGTGGTATCTATTAAGTATTGTAAATGGTGTAACTAAAAAATTTGGAGTAGCTGTTTTCCTCTAGTGTTGTCAATAAATAATGTAAGTTACTGCTTGAAATTGTATTAACATTAAAGAGGGAAAAACTCAAAACAGTATGTGATAGGGTTCTTAAGCTGCTGCATTCCCCTATCTTTAGTTCAACTGTTGTTGTAAAACCAAGACATGTTAGTGTCATAAAATAACTATTTTGCCATTGGTTGTAATACATGGGGTTTCAGAGCAGTGAAAGCTTGGTGGCTATCTAAAAGTTGGTTCTGTTTGAGCTTTCAGAGTAAAGAAATAATTGTATACATCTGGTATGGAAAAATCCTGAAATTGTCTAGAGCCACTATATACTTCAGAAGCTGATACCTGCATTTCAGAGCCACCAGTTGCCTGAGTATATTCAGACTTGCAATTTTAATGACATGGACTTAGAGCATAAAGGCCCCAGAGTTCTGTATATGAATGACACTCTCATTTGGCAGGCAGTAGCAAAGCCAGGATTTCACTTTCTGAAATGCAGCTCCACATAACTCGTAATGTGGCAACTGGATTCCTTCATTTGTAGTTTCACAGTAGCTTTCATTCAAATCAACATCTCCAAACACTGTTTATGTTTCAGTAACAAGTAAGCACTTTGCTTTTATCATTACTACGTCACAAGTGGGTCAGCAGATGCGAAGTAATGTGATTTGTTGAATGTTGTAGGACAAATAGGTTATATGGACTAGGGGAGCGAAGTTTTAGACAAAATGTATGAACACACCAATTAGGTTAGGGAATGGAGAAGAAAATACTCCTAAAGAAATTCAGCAAGGCAGCTTCAGAAGAATAACCCAGAGTCCTCAGCAAACAACCCCACTGTGCTGTCTGGCTTCTGCTCATCTGCTGGCTCTGAAAGTGCTCGCGCAGCTTTGCTTTCACAGCCCAGTGTTACTCTGGCCTCATACACCTGGGAAAGCTTTTCATCCCCTGCAGTTGCAGACATGCCTACCACACACCATTTGGAGCAAAGATCAATCCTGTGTGATATGGTCAGGACTGCTTAGTCCTCTAGGCAAAGAGGGTATAATTAGGTGAGAAGTTTTCCCTAGCAAAGGTCACCCGACCCCCAAATATAGCAAACGGATCACCTGCCCCCACACCTCCCCAGAACAGAGCCAAATCTCTAGGACATGTCTAGGCTACAACAGGAGTGTAAGTAAGCATTCAGCAATAGCCCTCATTTAGCATAAACCCTTGCATTTTGCCCTGTTTTGCATAAACAGATCACATTGTTACAACACATGGAGGCAGAAAAAGAACAGGAGATTGCCACCTCTCCTAGCAGCACCCTCTTGAGAGCTCTTCCATGGCAGCATCAAACTGTGGTGCTTTCCTAGTGAAACAGCAGCTGCAAATGTGCATTCGTGCTTGATATTCCCCCTTAAAACACAAAAACAACCTGTATCGACAGGAGGGAAGTCAAAACATTGTTATCAGGTTCACAAAGTGGTGCTATGAGCATGGTGTTCCAGCAGATACTTGTGCTCCTGAAGCCTAGGGCAGATGGATTATTGCTGGAGATGAAAGTAGCCTGATTTGGACTCACAGATCTGTTTTACAGTCCACAACAGTGTAAGAGGGTCTTGTGCAAAAGAGATTTAATGTTGGGC